CAACTACCCCGCATGCGATTCTCTGCATTCCATTTTCTTTCAAGCTTCGATGTCTTTTATATTCACAATATTATTGCCATGAATTCAGACATACATTTATGCTATCCCTCCTCAGCCCATTCCAAGGGGGAGGGAAATAATGCTTACAATTGTGATAATGCTTATTCTGCTGGTGGGAGTAAAATAAAAAATTTGATTGATGAAATGCAGTTGATTAAAATTTCCATCTGTACCTCATAGGGTATGTGCCCAGAAACCTTCTTCGATATGAATCACCAGTTATGTGATTCAGAGGATGGTGGCTATGCGAAGCTAAACTATATTCACTAATTGTGAGCTTTAGTAAGTAACTAGAAGAGAAGTTTGGAAAAGTTAAAAATCAAAAATCAAAATTTCTATTATGAAGGTTTCTTCGCCGCACTTCGAATTTATTTCCTCTTTGTTTATTCTGGTTTTCATTTTTACTTCTTCATTGAGAATCTTGACAATACTATACTTCCTGATTTTCTTAGTGTTATAACCATGAATATTTTAGGATATTATTTGCTAATAAGATGTCAGGTCAATATGCTACTTATAATTTACTTTTGATATTCTTTGTTCCATATGAGCTCTAAATAATATTTCTATGTTCATTTAGAATTGACTGTGGAGCCCATTTTCTTCTATGTTGAAGCTTGATTATTGTGCTTATCTTTGTTTAGTCTTTGTTTTATGTTCTTGCGTTGATCTTTATATTATTGACCTTTGTAGACCAATTTGATGGAACTCATTTTGCTAAGCTTTTTGTTAGATCTATTCCAAGGACCGCCAATAAAGATGTGGGTTGTATTACTTAGCAGTCAGTTGTTGACATATGTAGAATCAATTTTAAGAAATAACCTCTAATAGGATTGTTTTGTACTATGTCTTTGTGTCTTTGTGTTCGGTTGGTTTGATGTCAAACCAAGCAGTTATCCAAGTGTTTTGCCAAAGTACTTTATAAATTTTAGTTTCAGTGTAGGATACACAAACTAAAAATTTAAGTACATTTCAATAAGTTATCTCTTACTCCATAAGTTAGTCTTGCGATAACTTTGTGTTGGTTTGATTCATCACATCATCTAAATTTTTGTGACAAGTTGATTTTGTTGCTAGCCGCAGATTGAGGTAGCACTCGTGTTCTTTAAATGAATTTGAAACTTATTTCAATTGCACGAGTGGATTATATATCAAAAAAAATTATATGCAGAAAGTATTTTTTACTATAACGTTTGTTCATATGTAGAGGACTTGGTGTTCAATTACCATATATAAAGATAAAGAAAAAATAAAAAATTGAAGCATATTCTATCTTGCTGGTTTCATGTTAGAGTATAAATTTTATGGTTGACTGTCGAATTTGATAAATTCTATCCAATTCTATTTTTGCAGATATCTTTACAATATATATTATCTCCAAATCAGTGATTCTCTGTCACAATCACTCAATTCCCAAATTATCGATATGTGAAAGATTTTGTAGAGCTTATACATGCAGATGAACCAGCCTTTTTATTGAGTAGTAAGTTTTATCGATATGTGAAAGATTTTGTAGAGCTTATACATGCAGATGAACTAGCCTTTTTATTGAGTAGTAAGTTTCATGGGTTTATATATGGAGTGATAGATAGAGAAGATGAACAACAACAATTTAGTAGTAAATTAATCCATGAATTCATAATGAGATTTGTAGATTCTGGGAAAAACAATGAGGTCTGGGTTAAATTAGATGATCATTTGTCACGCTTTGGTTTGCATGAATTCTGTCTTATCACAGATTTACCATGTCACGAGATATCAGTTCATCTTCGCTCCAATAATAGTCAACTCAGAATCAGTATTTTAATGGTACAAAGAAAATTAGCTTGTCAAAGCTTTTTGAAGCATTTCATCTTTGTCAGCATCAGAAAGATAAATTTAAGCTAGGGTTGGTTATGTTGGTAGAGTGTGTGTTGACCCCTACTGGAAGAAATATTGATTATAAAACTCTAGGCATGGTGGAAGATCTCAACAACTTCATTGAGTATCTTCGGGGACGCACAACATACTTTGTTTCATTAAATTCATTGCAACAATCTCACCTCTAAAGACTACACAAGATGCAACAGAATCAAGAATATGAATGTAAATATATATTGCATGGATATACACTTTCATTTCAGGCGTTTTCTTGTAACACCCCGAAAATTTTAGAATAAAAATTTATTTGTTATATATACCATATTTTATTTTTTTAAAAAGTTGAGGGACTAAAGTGATATATGTATTAACTTCGATTTTGGGCTACATTTTTTAGATATTGTTAAAGCGACTGAAAGTATATCAATATAGGTTTCGTTGGATAGCTCGTGTTTAATGATGTAAATTAGGCTCAAGAAAAAATCAATTTGGATAAGCAAGGCCCAAGTTATCGAGGTCGGAAGATTTTGCCTTAAATTGTAAATTATTATTTATTATTTTTTCAAAATCAAAGTTACTTGGGATAGATAGCCACGTGAATGGATAATTGTTATTTTTTTTTAGAATTCTATTTAAAGTNCATCTTGTGATTTGTTTACTAGCAATTCAATTTTATCAAATGTGATAAATACGATTTTTCATGACAATTTCACTATAACTCAACCACTAAAATTTTCAACTATAAATAGTGTGCCAATGTCCCATAATTCACTACCACAGAATTTTACACAGCAGCTTTCATATAAAGTAGCTGTAAATTCTAAGTACATTTTTTTATTGTCAAAAGCTCGTTTGACCAATCAAAGGTAAGATATTTTTTGTCCAAGTTGTTCATTTCCTTATGAATGTTCAGTAATTTATGCATGAATTGCCGTGAACTTTCGGGTTCGACCTAACAGAATGTGAACTCTTTTGGGGTTCTTTATAATGAAATGTGAATGAAGTCAAAATGTGAAATGATGGGTATCTCGCTTGATCATCGATATACTCCATAAAGAGAAATGTGGTATGAATTGTCTATGTTATTGTTATGTAATTGTATATGAAAATTGCACGTATCTTACTGAGTATTTTTAAAATACTCACTCCTACAAATTTTTACAGGTTAGATCGGGTCGATTGGAGCTGTGGCGAGATGGTGCAGCGGACTGCCAAGAGATTTCGACATACGAAAATAATAAGTTTTAATGCCTTTAAATTCATTAGTTTGTTTTGTTGAATAACGTTATTATTGAGTTTATTAGTTGAGAATGTTTTGAGTTTTTTTTGAAAGTCACAATTTATTAATTCAAATTCAAATTTATGGATGTTCTAATATTTTGTTATTAAATAATTTTATCGTTCTGCATTTTAAGTAAATAAAGGTAAATGCAATTAATTTTTGGTAACACCTCAAGATGAATGAAATTTTGGGGCGTTACATTTCTCCTATTGGTATATTTTTCTATTTTTATATTTTGCAACTGTAAAGTTTATATTAACTATCTTTTAGTATTGGATATACGAAAGTTTTCCCCGAATTGGAGAACAGTTCGGACGCCGTAGACACAAAACAACACAGGCTCCAAGAATGCATAGATGGAAGCCCAATAAATTTTTGACAGAACAAACGATTAAAAAATACTTGGCTACCGAAAATGTATTTTCATTATTTTATTATCTCTCGCATTAAATTATATATTTTTAAAATAATTTCCATTTGATTGTATTGTTTTAAAATAATCCCAGATTGAAGTGATTGCAATTTTGGAACCTGATGAAGAAGAGTTGGAAACAGTATGGTATACCACTCTTACTTTACCACATGACAATGAACATGATATACTAGATCTCATTGTTAGAAGAGAGATAAACAATGCAACACACCGAAGTGACGGTGATACTTATCCTATGACACATACTTGTACTTCCATTTTATGATTTGGAATATCATTCTGTTTTAGTAATACTATAATTTGGACCAAAACATTGATCTCTTTTCTCAAAATCAGTGGAGTACTTTTTCATTATACTTGAATTTTGATTATAAATCTAGCATTTCTTCATGCACTTTTGCTTTGACATATATAGCTATTCACTGCATGGAATGTGAAATGGGGGTGTTTTTTCTCCCTTGATTGAATGGGAAGGTAACAAAAGTATAAAATTCGGATTTAACAATTTCTTATCATGCCCTTGTTTGACCACATTTTCTAAAACTCATTATCAGTTGTCTTCGGTTGTGGGATAACTTTGAATCCCTTCATCTAAGCTTATAATGTGACCGTATTTCTTGATTGTACCCCAAGTTTTGCATTTGCCCCCAGTAAATTTTCTGTCATCAATTTCTCATATTTGCTTAACTTGCTCCATATATTGAATATATTTTCTCTCTGTGGGTTCTAAATATTGTTTCGAGTTTATATTCCAATTATTACGAACATCTTTTGTTTAAATCTAAGTCAAGTAAGATGATTGACTACGATCTATTTCAAATAATACTGCCACTTGTCTTTTATTTTTGCAGAGCATATTTTACTGTAATCTGTTAAATGTAGTTAGTGAACTGTTGGGTGACTCAAAGCAAGACGCCGTCTTGATAATTGGATGCCAAACTTTGACCACATTTATTTACTGTTAGGAAATTTCTAGGCTTAAGGATTTTGAATTGTTTTAACAAGGAAAATCAATAAATTTGAGATTTCCTGTATATCTGGTTTTCTATTATATATACTGCAATGAGTCATCATGGTATGATTAGGAAAATAATTTCTTCTTGTTATTTTGTAAACCTAAGCCAGTATTCCCCCTTTTCTATCTTCATCGATCTTTGGAAAGAATGAAGTGAATCCATCTAATTTTTGTTATAATTACAAGAATTAACAATGTTAGTTCCTGTATATATAATCATTACATTGCATTGCCTCTGCTATGTTGTCCTATTTCTAGTTTCATCTGTCTATAACTACTTACATTGTCATCCTTGATCTATGTGATTCTCCATACTAAATTGATATGTTTTCCTTTTCCAGTAAATAGAAATGGCAGGTGAGCATATTAAGCCCCTTGTTTGTGATAATAGAACTGAAATGGTGAAAGTTAGCAAATATTCTTGGGTTAGTTGGAATCCCATATCACTTATTAAATTATTATGAAGTTGGTTACAGGGGGAATAACTGTTTTTGTTTTATATTCAGGCAAGATTTGCTGGTGATGATGCTCCAAAGACAGTTTTCCCAAGTATTATGGGCTGGCCTCGACATACTGGTGTTATGGTTGGGATGACATAGAAAGATGCATATGTGGATCATGAAGCTCAGTCTAAGAGGTATCTTGACCTTGAAATACTCAATTCAACATGGTATAGTCAGCAACTGGTATGATATTGAAAAGATCTGGCATCACAACTTCGTGTTGCTCCTCAAAAGCATCTTGTGCTTCTCACTGAGGCACCTCTCAAACCCAAAGCTAATAGAGAGAATATGACACAGATCATGTTTAAGACTTTCAGTGTTCCAGCAATGCATGTTGCTATCTGGGTCATTGTTTCTCTTTATACTGCAAAGTGTGGTACTATTGGTGTGAATTAGTTCTTGAAATCTAAATGTTCTCCCTTTAATATGCACACAAGTAATTTCATTTAATTTCCTACCAATTTCTATTCATGATAGGTATTATGCAAGATTCTGGTGATGATGTGAGTCACACTGTCCCCATTTATGAGGGGTATGCTCTGCCCCCATGCCATCATTCATCTGAACCTTGCTCGTTGTGACCTCACATACTATTTGTAGAAACCCAAGATTTGATTAGGGATTGATTTTGGAATGATTTGTGTACCATATTTTATTATTTCCATAGTTAAGAATAATTTATGTTTCCTTAATTAGGAGATTTCTTTCCTTTTAGGCTGTAACTCTCGGTTGTATATAAACCTATGTATACATGAATGAATAAATCAATTCACATAGAAATTGTGTGTTTCATTGTCTTCTACATGGTATCAGAGTAAGGTTCTGATTACTCTATTGTTCAATGACAGAAATTCCTACGAACAGTAAGGAATCTACAACATCAGAATCACTTCAAAGTGAGGCAGAGATCATCTCGTCCATGGGCTCCAATAACATCGAAAATACTTCCTTTCAACTCACTGTCGAAAAATTGAACGGGAAATACTTTCGAGAATGGGCCCAATCCATCAAATTGATAGTCCAAGGAAAAGGGAAAATGGGTTACCTCACCAGTGAAACTAAGAAACCAACAGAGACGACGCTTCTTCAAAAATGGAAATCGAAAAACTCCTTGATAACCGCCTGGCTCGTTAATTCTAGGACGCAGTGAAAGAAACATACTCAGATGGAGAAAATGCGTCATTAATCTTCGAGTTAAAGACTCGATTGTGGCAAACCAAACAAGGGGAAAGAGAAGTTACAGACTATTACCTGGAGATGACAAATCTATGGCAAGAACTTGATCTCAGCCTCGAGGAAGAATGGGAATGCCCGGGCGACTATGTATGTTACAAGAGAAGGGTTGAGAACGAACGGGTTTCTGAATTTCTGGCTGGGTTCAACCGCGATTTGGATGATGTCAGGGGACGAATCTGGGGCCGACGACCACTACCAACTACACGAAAGGTTTTTGCAGAAGTACGTGGGGAAGATTATCGTCGGAAAATCATGATGAAGACCGGCGAAGACGAAGGTACAATGGAATCGGCGATGCTGTCAAGGCGGAGTGGAGTTGGTGGGCTTAAAAGGGGTGGAAGATCAAGCAATGGGCCGGCTGTTGTAAATGGGCTAAATGGGTCAAATTTTAATATGAAGAATCCATGGTCTGAAAAGTCTTATAATGGACTTGGTGAACCTGCAGGTATATTAGGGCCCTAGACATGGTATTGGGCCTGGAATGAATGGATTATTTTCAAATGGATCAAAACCACTTAAGGGACGGCCATTGTGTGAACATTGATGCAAACCAGGACACAAGGAGGATACGTGTTGGGATCTACACGGGAAGCCCAGTGACTGGAAGCCTAGGCAAAATACCAGAAATCGAGGCTATCAAGCATCAATCAATCCAATTGAAAATCCTAAAGACAATAATTCTACTGCAGGGCATGCATTAAATTCTAAACAATTGGAACAACTTTATCAAATTTTTTCCAGTCTTCAAACTTCAGGTCAACCGTCCAAACACGACCCCTCCAGTTCATTAGCCTACAAAGGTATACACTTGAGAGCCTTTATTACCTCTTAAAAATACAAAATTCCGTGGATTATTGATTCAGGTGCATCCGACCACATGACGGACTCTTACCATCTTTTCTCCTCATATACGACTTGTGCTGGCAATATTAACCTCAAAATTGCAGATGGATCCCTCTCAACTGTTGCAGGAAAAGGGAATATCCAAATATCTGATTCTATAACACTGAACCCAGTACTTCATGTTCCAAATTTATCTTGTAATCTGTTATCCGTTAGTCAGTTAACAAAAACTTCAAATTGCTCAGCTAAATTTTTTCCATCTCATTGTGTCTTTCAGGACCTATCATCGGGGAAGATGATTGGCAATGCTAAAGAGTATGAGGGCCTTTACTACTTTGAGAAAGCAGACCTGAGTAATCCTAGTCCAATTAAAATTTGTGATTCTGCATATGTCTCTAGGGATAGTAAGATTTTACTGTGGCATTGCCGAATGGGTCATCCCAATATGCAATATTTAAGATGTGTACTTTCGTCTATTTTTTCGAATAAAGCTTCCTTTGATTTTCAATGTGAGATCTGTGAACTAGCAAAACACCAACGTAGTACTTTTTCTAAATTCGTGTACAAGCCATCGTATCCATTCACTATAATTCATCGTGATTTATGGGAACCTTCACGAATTCCAAATCACACTCACACAAAATGGTTTGTTACGTTTATCGATGATCATACTCGGGTCTGTTGGGTTTATATGTTAAAAGAAAAAATCGATATTCGCTCGATATTCATCAATTTTCACTCCATGATTCAAACACAATTCCACACTCAAATTCAAATCCTCCGCACAAACAATGGCACTGAATACTTCAACTCTCTCTTACGAGACTACCTACAATAACATGGTATAGTTCACCAATGTTCGTGTGTCGACACTCCTCAACAAAATGGGATTGCGGAACGCAAAAACAGACATCTCCTTGAAGTTGCCCGTGCCTCAATGTTCACTACAAATATGCCAAAACAATACTGGGGAGACGCCATTCTAACATCTTCCTACCTTATCAACAGAATGCCTAGCCGCACACTGGATTTTAAATCACCTCTTCAAAATTTTCATACCTGCTTTCCTACCTCACGTCTATATTCTAATCGACCTCTCAAAGTGTTCGGTTGTACTGCATTTGTTCATGTTCATCCTCACAATCGAAATAAACTCGACCCACCCTCGTGCGGTTAAATGTGTATTCATTGGATACTCAACCACTCAAAAGGGCTACAAATGTTATGATCCATCCACGAAGAAGCTATTTGTCAGTTTTGATGTCACATTCTTTGAACGAACACCCTATTTTCAAAAGTCCTCTCTTCAGGAGGAGAATTTGAGTGAAGATTGGTTCCTAGATTTTTATTTTTCTCTTCCTAAACATACTTCAAACATAGACTCTGATTCCATCATACCATTGAGTTCTAACATGCCACATGTAGAACATAACTTGAACTCAGGGGAAGATGCAGGAACACAGAAGGACAAAGAGATACTAGTTTACTTAAGGAAGCGAAAATCAAAGGAGAACCTCATACTTGAAGCACCAAGAGAATTGGAACCGATGATAGCTCCGCATCACCATGAGTCCGAATCTCCTGATATCAATTTACCCATTGCACTCAGAAAACCAACTCGGTCATGTACCCTTCACCCAATCTCAAAGTTCATATCATATAATGCCTTATCTACAAAATTTAGTACTTTTATATCTAACCTTGATAGCACAACGATTCCAAGAAATATTCAGGAAGCCCTGGAAGTTCCAAACTGGAGAAATGCAGTAATGGAAGAAATGCAAGCCTTACAGAAGAATGAAACTTGGGAGGTGATAGATCTACCAAAAGGAAAAAGATCGGTAGGATGCAAATGGGTGTTCAATGTGAAATATAAGGCTGATGGGACAATAGAAAGATAGAAAGCTCATCTTATGGTAAAAGGATATACACAAACCTATGGCATAGACTATACAGAAACTTTTGCACCAATGGCTAAATTAAATACGATACGTGTCCTTCTATCCTTAGCAGCCAATCTGGATTGGCCTCTTCAACAACTCGACATAAAAAATGCATTTTTAAATGGGGAATTGGAAGAAGAAGTATTCATGACACTACCTCCAGACTTCTACTTACAAGAAGAAAATCGAGTTTGTAAACTAAAAAATCTCTATATGGCCTGAAGCAGTCTCCAAAGGCATGGTTTGATCGATTTGCCAAGGTATTAAAAAACAGGGTTATCAGCAAGGACAGTAGATCACACTATGTTCTTCCAACAATCGAAGAGTGGAAGAAAAACAATTTTAATTGTATACGTCAATGATATAATCCTAACTGGGGATAACACATTTGAGATGGAAAGACTGAAAAAACACCTAGCAACTAAGTTCGAGGTAAAAGACCTAGGGCAAATGAGATATTCTTAGGAATGGAAGTTGCAAGGTCAAGGACAGGTATTAGTGTTTCACAACGAAAATACATTCATGATCTCCTATCTAAAACGGGCATGCTTGGATGTAAACCATGTGACACACCAATTGAGACAGGAAGAAAGATATAAAATCTTGGGAAACCAGTTGAGAAAGACAGATGATATCAACGACTAGTTGGAAGGCTGATCTATCTCATACAAGACCAGATATTGCATTCGCAGTAAGTGTGGTAAGCCAACATATGCATTCACCTACGAAAATCGATTTGGAAGCAGTATACAAAATTCTTAGGTATGTAAAAGTATCTTCAGGAAAGGGATTGTTCTTCAAGAAAACTGAAAAGAAGGAAGTAGAAGTTTTCACAGATGCAGACTGGGCTGGTTCTACAGAAGATAGGAGATCGACTATCGACTACTGTACCTATGTATGGGGTAACTCGGAGAAACAAGAAACAAAATGTAGTAGCAAGAAGAAGTGCAGAAGCCAAGTTTAGAGAAGTAGCACAAGGAATCTGTGAAGGACTATGGTTAAAGAAACTTTTAGAAGAATTGCAAGTCGTTGTAAAACTCCCAATAAAACTATATTGTGACAATAAAACACCAATCAATATCTCACTGAATCCAGTACAACATGATCGAACTAAATATGTAGAAGTGGACAGATACTTTATCAAAGAAAATGTTGAAGAAGGAGTGATTTGTATGACATATGTTCCTACAAAGGAACAAACAGCAGATATCTTCACCAAAGGACTACCTCAACAGAGTTTTGATAACTTCATTCGCAAGTTGGATATGGTCAACATTTACCATCCAACTTGAGGGGGAGTGTAGAAACCCGAGATTTGATTAGGGATTGATTTTGGAATGATTTGTGTACCATATTTTATTATTTCCATAGTTAAGTAGAATAATTTATGTTTCCTTAATTAGGAGATTTCTTTCCTTTTAGGCTGTAACTCTCGGTTGTATATAAACCCATGTATACGTGAATGAATAAATCAATTCACATAGAAATTGTGTGTTTCATTGTCTTCTACACTATCTTATGAAGATCCTCACTGAAAGAGGTTACATATTCACCACATC